GCGATCTATTCCTTCAGTTCTTTTGTACTTTTGTGTACCACAGACCCTTAGGAATGTAGAAAACTCGAGCTACTCAACTCATCCAAATAATAAAGCGAAAATTAGTTTTATTGTTCTCCACTTGGCATATTTATATTGAATATATTTTTGATTGGTGGAATTGATTGGATTCCGTGCAGGTTGAATGTTCATACTGCGATATTATTTGTCCAGTCATACAAATTAGGCAACTCAGCCCGTTTAAGATAAGTACATCGAATCTTAATACATATAAATGGTGACCGTACATTTGAACCCATGTACATTTGAACCCATGCGTATATCCACGGGTTCAATCTATATGCGGGTGCTAAAACCCATGGGTTAGGGTTAGTATGGGTTTAACTATCCGTGAAACAAAAAAAATTCCATAGGTGCAATAGCATACAGGTGTAATTGTCATGGGTTCAAATGTACGTGGGTTCAAATGTAATGGAACCCATATAAATTATTATGAAATGCTTCGAAGAAATATATCGTTGATAGTCGGACTTTTATGCTTGGTTATATTGGCTAACAAACTTGTCGTGTTTTATTGTAGCACTGCTGGTATTTGATACCAATTAATCGCGGCCACCAACTGTCGCAGAGATATAACTGTAGGTCCAAGATATCAGCTCACATACTGTCGATGACATTGCTTTGCTGAGAAAGGGCAAACAAATTATACTCTATTAAAAATTCATTGGCTTTAGATTTCGCAAGTGGAATGACGAAATTATTTGACCTAATTAAAGCAAACGTCGTGCCGTACAACACATAGGTAGTCAGGCGAGCAGTTTCATTGTTAAGTTACTTTCAGCGATCGAATCATTAACTGGGTAACCTGTTGTTTGTGGGTTATTCATTCAGCTCGTAAAATTTATATTTGTTTTCTAAATCGTATTACAATGACAGGCACGGTCCGGTAACATGCATGTAAATGCATGAAGCCTCGTAAATTTTCGACTACGGTTGTTTGATAGAACGAACAAATCGAGCGCATTTGGCAACTCATAAAAAGAACTATCACCGAATTCAGGTCGTAACAGGTAATAAATCTACGCAGGTATGGCAATGCAAATTCCAAGCATGGACTTTTACGAGACTTGCAACACACACGACAACCATGTGATATAGGTCTAAATAAGAACAAATCGCTTTGATCTTTTTAATCACCCCTGCGACAAATCGTTGAACAAATCGCCCACGCATCTTGTTGATTTTCTCAATTGTGATTAGCATTGTTCTTTGGTAATTGCCATAAATTAATGATATACCTGTCCTTGTTTTCATACATATATGTAAAGTGATGTAATCGATAGAAATCAGTGAAATAAATGCAAGTAAATCACATGAGTATTGTATTATCGTGAATTTGCAATGTCTGAGTCAAAAATTTGTCCTGATTTCTGACCTGCCCGTAACCAGACGCAAGGATAAACTATTGAATTTTTCTAGCACGGTGGCTACCAGTTTCAGCTTTCGCACGCATATCGTGGGTAATATTGCGACCCATACGCAAATTTTCAAATTTGAGGTTCGCGTGACAATATTGTTCGAACATCCCATTCAATTAAATATGTACCTAATTATACATTGCTACCCTGTGTAACATCTAATTAGTGCCCGATACCGTAAACAGTTTCTGAAAGCCTATTCTGCGGACACAATACTGGATCAACGGCTTTAATAAACTCACCGGGAGATCGGATCTTATCGCACCTATCTCACACTTGCGACGTCGCAAAAGCTGTGTTAAAGTATAAAAGGTAGGATTTCATTAATCCGTGGCTTGTCTCGGTTATGTGCAAGATCATTGTTCTCACGAGTTTTAAAGTTTACTTTGATAACTCATAGCCAATCTTGATACTGTATGCGATGGAAGCCAATCAATATGCATGAAGCGATGTATTTTTCAAGCCATTGTGAAAATAAAATATAGATATGTAGTATCCTTTACCCAATGTGTACGCAATGTCATAATGCAGCGTGGAAGTGGTTTCTGAAAGCCTATTAATGACTGTAATTGAAGAGTATATTATCGAAAACTTCAACACTGTCGTACAGACACGCAAACCTAAACGTGATGGAAATTAAAGACGTTACAAACCTAAATATTAAGTTATAACTATAGAGGTGGATATTGTATAAACATGACAACGGCAAAACCCTATTTCTCGTCATGTAATTTGAATTACTCGATCGCTATCCATCAATTTGTGGCCGGTTTATCACATACAAAAAGTGCTTTTCTTCTCGCTAGGTACAGTCTCGCTACGCTTGGTATATGTGCCTTTGGCTGTAGCTTTGAAATTTTCGATTCGACATAGTGACTGGTGAACTATGATTTTATTAAAAATGAAATGCCATGTATTTGATTAAAAAAGCGCATTCCTTCGCGTAAAGCAATGGCCGCGATATCTTTTGAAATGGCCGCCTCGATCGAAGATTTGGGTATATTTTTCGACTTTAGAAGGTTTGCGGTCGCATCGGGCGTTAATGGCGGGGTTCTGAATCGTGTGTGTTTATTTTGCTGGCGTAGATTTATTGGTCTTAAATGTCGCATTGATTGTTTTTCTTGAGATGTTTTATCTAGCAAGTGAGATGACAGAAAGCTCTATACATCGATATAAAATATACAAGACAAATATCATCCGATATATCAACACGCCCGAAACCCGGAGAATGAAAATCCAACTATCGACCATGAAAGTTACGTTATTCGTGCTTTGTCATTGGCGTTTGAAGCTCACAGTGCTCCCACTGTTGTAGTTTAGCCATAGCGAAAAGATATGATTTGTATTTTGATAAACTTCAGATTTTCCCTCGTGTCACACATATCAAATAACACAAAAGGTGGTCACTGCAAACATCAGGAGTGATACAAGCGAAGATTATAATGTCACATAAAATCTGATAGTATTGTTGATCTTTTAACATGGATATTATCTACACAATTTGCAACCCAAAATTTTCATAAATAGACCATCGGAAAATTTCAATCTTACAAATGATTCTTCGGACGATAGACAACTTTTTCAGGCTGGGTGGTTTCAGATCATACCTTCTCAACGTATCACATTTCGGAGATGAATCGCGGCACTGCATTCTTTAATTCAGCGTCGCATTACCCTCTTAGTCTCCCTCGCGCGGTAGCTTGCATCGTTTTATAAATCATTGTTATCATTTTTGACTCGCGGCAAACTGTCATTGTTCGGTTTTCTTCTGATTAGATTGTGAATGATATTTCATAAATAAACTCGAATTTTTTTTCTATCTACTTCGTGTGTCATGAAGTAGAAGAAATATTATGGACAGCATGAAATTGATGACTGCAGGAATATATTGAAAATAGAACAATGATCTCCACATTTAAGCGGAGATAAAAATCTCAAACGTGAAGCGTATATTCGCCAAGACTAAATGCCCTCAAGCGCGCGGCTTGTTGTTGCAAATGCAGATGCGCTGCTTTGATTGATATTAATATACCTATTGCAAACAGCCTGTAACATTGACAAGTTTTAATGTTATTACATCGTAAGAATAATCAATAGTAAAAAATTTTTCACCCACTCAGCTGTCTTATGATATAGCCAGAATAATGGTACTTGTGAATGAACCCATAGCGGAAAAGTTCTGTCACATACAAATCGTCGATTAATGAGTAGATTATATGATTTTATCTTGATTTCTTTTATGATAAAAAATCAAATTATGGTGAATATGAGGGGATGGAATTTGGTTTATTAGTATCGTGTTTTACTTTTATGTTAAAATGTCACGAGTACAGTGGACTGACGATATTGGTATATTCCTCTATAACTCGTTAATTGAGCCGACATTTGGGCTAGTTTCATGTTCGAAACGTGTTAGCGAAGGACAATGTCTACCAAACGCCATTCATAAGGAAATCCAATTTCCCTAATACTCTCCCCAAAAGTTGTCAAAATATCCATATATAATTTTAAAACTAAATGCTTGGTGCAATTCCATTGGGATAATTGAACTTTAGGCCTACTTTACGATTTGAACAATTTGTTTTGATTAAGTATTGTGTCTTGGAGCTTTTGGCAGTCAGCGTCGAGCTTGAAATAGTCATTCCACGCACAAGTCTTCCTTGTCAGAAGATTAATTACAGTGACATTTTTAACATTGACTAGATTGATACGTGCCGGACGTGACATTGGTGGATTTTATTACATCCTTTGAAGGGGTTGCGAAACCTGAAAAGAGGAATTATTTAATTGGCCCCAAGCAGATAAGAGGTCAAACTCATTTCCCAAAATAGAAATTTCCAAATTGTGCACAGTGTTTCACGCCAACCGCACACCTTGTAAACCAGGTGGGTATGAGTATTAAATGGCAATCAAATTTCACGATTCGCTACTTGACTTATTCACGACCGGTCATCGAATAAGAACCGAAGTTCTTTTGATTCTTTCCGTATCCTTCTTATAAGTGGGGAGATTTGTTTAAATGACAGGGTGTTAAAAAATGCTTGATGGAAAAAAATGTCTCACAACAAATTATACGATTTCATACGATATCGTAGTTGGCAAATTTTACAAATGTGCTTACAAAAAAGTTTTTAAATTAAATTTGAGCTTTTACTATCAAAACTCTTGCAATGATAGCTTCCATATCTACACAAAAGTCACAACTCAAACCAAATAAACACTGTAGGCTATAGTACAAAGGAACCTCTTGCAGTAACAGGTGAATACTAACTAAATTAGTCATTTCAAGATGACACTGTTTTGTCTATCACCACCCCATGTCAAACGCGGTGCGGCACCAGTCATTCTTGTGTGATTTCTATTTGCTCGAATGACTTGCGGATTATACCAATTTTCGGCCATTTAAATAGCCGACAATATGAGGCAGTTTCCTGTACCGGAAGCATGTGCCCCAAGCCCAAACCCTAACCTCTTTCAAATAACCTTTGATGTCGTCCGTGTTCTAGTTTTTCTCACGCACCTTATTGACACATTGAAAGACCAGACGACTGCGCGTCTTCCGCGATTTCTAGCCCAATAATCACTCTTTTCATCACTCTTGGATATTGAATAAAATTCACAAATATATTATAAATATCAATGTTGTGGTCACAGAACCCCCGTTGCCAGAAACCCTCTCAGACAGCAATTGACTTGTTACTGTGGTGCATACACAACGGCGTGTGTTCAAAATATATATTATCTGGTTGAGCAGTATCAAATAATGCAAATTCTGTTGGGCGGTTTTGTACACCGACTGTTGTAACGTTTATCGTATTTATTTTATCAAGTTAATTGGCGTTCAATCAAAGAATATAGTGGACCATATAGTGAATCTCACTGCACTCAATTATCGTTAATTTTTAATTTTACCAATTGGATGTATTTCACTCACCATGCCTTTACGATCGGTCGTACATGCACATTTCGGTATTTCTGTAAAATGAAATCAAAAATATGCAAAATTAAATTGACAGTTTTGCATACAAGCTAATGATATAGTATTTGGATTTTGATTGTACCATATATCATCAGGGCAAAATATCAAAGACTATAATACGTCACTGCAAAAGCATCGTTACGGTACTGGCTATCAAACGTTTATGAAAAAATATATTTGAGGTCGCACGATCACAACCGCAGGCGTAATTGAAGAAGCTATTTATCTCGGGCCACTTAAATGATTGGACCAATTTTGCGAAAAAGATCTTAAATTTGACGATCTGTTGGTTGATATCGGTCCCGGCTATTCACATAATTGTCTTCACTTGCCATAAATCTAACAAACCTATAAAATCGTCTGGACTTAGATATTATCAGGGTCAAAAGATCGGTTACTGAAATTCTAAAGGAAATTATTTTTATAGTCTCAGAAATATTGGCGCTGGGTCACCTTTCGTGAGAAAGCGAACAATTTAACGACAAATTTAGCCGTTTCCGTCAAGACGACGATACCACCGCCCCAGTCGTGTTAATTTGCGAAATAAGATTCGGGAGAACGAACATAAATGTAAAAATTTGTTCCAATATTATCGCGTTTATTTATAACCGTTGACAGTTAATACATGAGTCTGGCCATTGTAGCAGGCGGATGATTTCCGAATGACCAAAATGATCCAGATGTTTCATCTATTATATAAATAACACAGGTGCCAAACAAGTGTTTTTGACGTCTTTCACCTCGGTTTAATATTCTCACGCTTTGTAGTACAAAAACTTTGATAATTGTAATATCCTTTAATCATATATTAATATTTAATGCTCGACATGTTGAAATTTGTGTCTGTTTATGAATTTCATTGATGTCAAATTGAATATATTAAATCGACTGCTTATATTCACGTTTTTATAACACAGTAAAGATCTTGACTCGACTATGTTTCGCGATGTTAACCAGTCTGTGGTTGGACGCCATTTTAAAGAGCTATATTCAGTACCAAGGCGTTCGATTCATGATCACAGGTCGTAAGCAAACAGGGCTCCTCGGAGCTTTTGATTCCTAGTTGCTGGTCTTGGCGGCTCGTTGCACATGTATAGGCGGCACATATATAGTGGCATATCGTTATTGTTGACAAAAGAATATTATCAAACGAGCCAATTTGTTAACTACGGTATCAGGTGGAGAAGAATGACTGTAATCCTTTGCCAATATTAGCACTATATTATTTACCCCAGCACAAGCGACTATTGTCCTTCATAGGCGACAAGCACATTGTTGTGCTATCAACTTCTCAGGACTCATCAATAAAATAACACAAAACATCAAACGATACGGCGAAAGATAACCTACGTCGATTATATAAACGGGCATTCATTTTTATGAGAACTCAATGAAACACGTAAATTTATACGTACATATTTTGATTTTGCTAGACATACCTTGCTTGCCCCAGGACATAAGTATAATTACAACTGTTCTTTAATCTTTGACGGAATTGGGTAATAATATTTTTCAACTTTGAGATTTGCCCAAAGCATTTCCCCACAAGCTTAGAAATAGAAAAGTATCTTCGGGAGTTACATACATATCAAGTCTACAATGCCGTAAAACGGTCATAACTTTTGAAGAACATGTTTGGCTTTGAATAATAGGAACAACGCGGATATCAATAAATATTAACAGAACAAAATTGCAACTTTCCCACACAAAATTCTGGTTTATAGATGGAACATATTCGTTTCTACGAATAGCGTTATAGTGCAATTGACCATCCCCCTACACCTGCACTTTCTTGCTAATGCGTAGAATGTGGCTTAGCCGGTATCGAAGGTTCAATGTACCGATCTTTTCTAATGAAAGAAGGAGTTCTATTAATATTGTCGAATAAGCATTTATGATATAATATAAATAAACATCGGTCGTGTAAGGACTTTGCCCATGTGATGATAAGTTTTTTGCGAATGAATTTACCGCTTGCTTTATACAAAGTAGAACTAGCTATTTTTTAATTCAACCACAGTGAATGACAAGCCACGCCTATGCAGTCTGTGAAATAATAAATGTAGCATATATAATTAATTTCCTGTCAAATAGCGGTGAATTCAATTCATACCTGAGGTTTCGTTTGATCGTTAAGTATACTGTTTCAGATAAATCAAGGAACAAAGTTACATGTGCACTTTACCATTAGTTTGTGTTCCTATAAATTTTTAACTTTATTATTTATGCATTATTCATTTTTCAGGCGACGTCATCAGTAGGCGAAGGTGCTTTAACAAGCGATTTGTATGATTTTGTCAAGCATCTCTCCAGCACACAGAAACCTCGAATATGTCAAATTTATTCAATAAGCACGGGAAAACACATACAAATAATTAATAAGAAAGTATCAGCGTGCGGAGAAGATGGAGATGAATATTGTGAGTATTTATCTTCCAATAAAAACTCTATATCTCTTTCTAAGAAGTCAATGCTTGAACTTATCTATCAAAACTACTTATGCGTGAATTAAGATGATTGTGGTTCGGCCATATACCTCATGTTTTAAAAATCGAATTAATATTTTAAAAGCGTTTAAAATATCTATAGATTTGTGATTTTTTCCTTTTCTTTGCTAAGTTTGCTTGCTAAAATTGAGAGGAGATTTTTGGTGTGTTGACATCAATAAGCATACCTTAAATTGTATTCACAAGATAAAAAATTTGTTGATTGTCTAACAAACTACAGACGGCGTCTTACATGGATTTGTCGCGCCGGGTGCTTAAAAAATCAAAAACCGCGACAAAGAACTGGGAATGCTTGGAGTTCTAGAAATACCAAGCGGGTAGCTGAATAGTATAGTATATTTTGCGTACAACCATAAGGTCATCTTTTTTTCTTCAATGCCATCGAAGTATTACATTCACACGATTTAGTTGAACTCGCCGTTTAGACTGTTTCATTAGTTACTTTGACGGTATGTTTTAACAAAAGATACGAGGATGAAAAGAATATTTTCCACGCGTCTCATGTTATGAAAAGTCATTATAATTGCTCCTACTTGGAAAACCTTGAGCAAAATACTTGTATACTTTGGCAATTTCTACTCTGATAGATTTTGTCTTTTTTACTGAGCATTATTGGTGTTACAAATGGATAGTGAGATAGAAACAAATCATTCTGAAAAATCGCTCAGTTTACAATTGAATACCCGCAATAAATTTGTTGAATACTGTTGTCATTCAAGTTGATATCAATATAGATAATTTTAGAACACTTGATTTATACGAGTCTATGAGATTTCTAGCACCTGCCTCTTCAATCAGGGATTTTAACGTTGACTGTTTATATTGTGTTTGGGGCTGTAACATAAAAATAGCAAGTAAACCTGACTTTTAATTCGTGACATTAAAACTAGCTTAAGTGTAGAAAATTTATATTGGTTTCATTGAAAATGAATGAAAACTGAGAACCCAATTAGTTAAATTTCATGCTTGATGAAACGCCAATTTGTGACGCAAGACTAGAAACGTAACCGACGTTAATTGTTATTCGTGTGTGCCAATAAAATATGAAATTTGTAACGGTGTATGCTGACGGCTTATCACAAAGTAAAATATTCTACGAAACGCAGCATTTCTGCAACTGATGTATGTATGGTCATTTGCAAATTCGTTTTAAACCACCTCAATTATTTTTCATTAAATATACGATTCTGTCACACAAAATTCTGCAAACCATTGACCACATTGATTATGACATTCATTCAATGTCAAATATTTAGTGTTTGATGCTATATGTAAACAAAAATAAATAAAAAGCTGAGAATTGTTATGATTATATTTTATTAGTGCGTGAATTTATCTAGTATTTACCGCCTTGAGACCTGCACCGGTACCCGTTTATCTCATGAATATTGTTTTTTGTAGGCTTATTAATCCTTTGGACCAAATCAAAAATCCCATTATTAGTATGATTATATAATTTTTTGATTATATAATTTCTTTGTCATAAATTCATTTTTATTATCTAACGAGACAAATATGTCTAGAACGGTATCTGTAGTTTATAGTAAAAAGATATATGGAATTAAAAAATTTGTCAAAGATATCACTATATTCGTCATGATGCTTACAATAAAACAACTTAATAAAGTCGGAAATCATTGGGTCATAGGTCAATCACTTGATTTATATTTTTCTTGTTTCATTCGGCGCCCTACAGAAGCGTTTGTTTTGCATTGGTATGAAGGTGAAACAAAAATGTCACGAAGTGCGTTAGTGTCAACGTTATATCATGTTTTTAAATTGTCACTCTGTCAGTTTCAAATCAAAGACATACATGACCGACTTTTTTTTTTTTTTTCTGAATAAACACGAGCAAATTGAGCTTGAGGAAAAGAGAATGTGATTTATTTAGTCGCGATAAAATATATGATTTGCCGCTATGCGGATGAAAATCAGATTATAGTGATGTATTTACAAAATATTTGACAGAATGAAAAAATAATTTTTATTGGTTTTATAGTTAGTTACTGTAATAATTTGTGATTTCTTTTTCATCCTACATTAGGACATGCAGAATAAAAAATTATGACTTTTTTTGTGTTTTCCTACGATATTACCATTTCTGGTCTATTACGATTGCCATTACTATGAAGAAATAACAGCTTTGGGGCAAACTAACCAAAGATTGATTCGAGTAATTAAATTTGACAAAATTGTATTTCAGCTAAAATGGAAAAGACATCTCATACGATTGGAGTTGTCACCATCCGCGGTGTGAAAAGCGGAAGATATCTTTGCATGTCTAAAAGGGGAAAGCTAATCACGAAGGTGAGGTATTTGTTTATTTATTTACCAAAATATAGTGCAATATTAAATAACAAGCGAAATCTATCCTAGGAATGAGATTCAATAATATATTATTTCAGGTAAGTTTCCCAATATTTTTCACATATTATGTTGATATGAATACAAAGATACATGATTTAAATAACTAAATCTTGCAACGACACCAACTTTCACTTGCCACTGGCAACTTTATTTGTTAAGCTGTATTTAATTCCGCGCACATGGTTATTTTTACTCCAAAATGCTTGCTCATGGGCAAGTTTATCCAGGAAACGTTGAATCAGTCTTATAATTACTGTGAATAAACTACTCCCTTCATGTTATTTGTAAAACGTACCTTCCGGGCTATATGCATGTTGATAATAAAAACTGCATTAATCAAAAGCTGCATTAACCCGCCGCAAACAGGTCCCTATTATCCGCTATAGTATTGAAAGAATCGGCATTGGCAAAGGGTTAGGAGTACATTTGGGCCTTGGGCGACTGCTCTAGCAGTAATTAGCGCACTTCAATCGTTCATTTGAGTGAACTTGCTCTGAATATCAGGGACAATCTTGGTTCTGATAATTCAACTATAGCGGGCGAGGCTTAGAAACTATAAAAATACAATCATTTTCGAGGACAAATTCCAGCAATCAAATTTGATATACAGACCAAGCTTTGCAAACAAGCTATAAAAATTATAATTGGCTACATCATTCAATAAAAAACATTCGTCGACTAGTTGCGCAAGAGTTACATCGAATTGGTGTTGAGAAATATAGAAATTATAATTCCATTATCTGGCTATTAATCTATAATGAGCAACTTCCCGCCTTGTTTACTCTCGGATGGATTAAGATGCCAAGGGCAAACTGTCCGTCTGACTACGTTAGTCATTTGTACAGTTAATCGTCTAAATAAGTCGGCATTGAAGGTTAAACATGTAAGCAAGCAAACGCTTTCATATTACATTACAAGATTTTTCGGTTACGTGGGTAATGTACTTTTCCAGATATCTTAACAGTCGATATGCAAATGGAGGTGTTGAAAATGCACCTGTCCCTGATTGAAGAGAAACGCCAAACACATTTGTGTTTTTTTTTTTCGCTATAATGACCCTCGAATATCTTTATTCTGATTTATTTTGGGTTAACAATTCAATTAGATGTGGAATTATTTTTGAACGACAGACCATGATCATATTTTGATCACACTTCAACCACATTAAAAACACGCGTGAAATCGAAAAAAGAACCAATATATTTATTTATTTGCGATAATCGATTTCACCCTTTTAATATAAAAATGGGTAACGTACTTGGGTGGTCTTTTGATCCTTTCACATCCATTTAGTTAAAGTCTGATTGTTTACCTGTTTGAACGTTTATATTTTCTTAATAGCATTGGATGGAGGCCGGTCTGTTATTTTTTCTGTAATGTAATGTAATAAAATACTTATTTTTACAGAAAAAACTGCCCCGGGATAATTCATGCAAGTTTGTTGAAAATATGACATCATTACACTACACTTCCTATAGAAGTGAAAGAGACCGAAATTGGTACATTGGTTTCAATGGAAAGACTGGTCGCGGTAAAAAAGGAAAAAGAACAAGTCCGCACCAAGAGGCGTGTAAATTCATGATCCGCGACTCAGAGGATCACAAACATTTAAATAAATTGCCGCCTGCACACCTGCAAGAATTTTTTCTCAAAATGCGGCGGCAAGTGAAAAAGTTGGGCCCTTCATTGACACGAAAACGACGACATAGATTTCAAACAGAAGATCCAATGGAAGACGACGACAAAATTGATGACGAAGTTATGGACACCTTGACGCGTTTGATTGGGTCACCGTCATCGATCGGTTCCGCTCAAGATCGACAAGAATGGATGCTACGTGTTGAAAACTTTTTGAAAAACTACTCCTCTGCGTCAGTCCTCAACACCACACTGAGCGCTTTTGATCTTATAAGTCCGGAGGAAAATCCCGCTACTCCTGATCCTGCGATGCCAAACGGACGACGACGCAACAAACAGCGAAACAAGGTCAAAAAGCCTTGTCGTGGTCGAAAGCGCAGTAAATGCCCAAAAGTCACTGAAACTGAAGGTCCAACAGAAGTTCCCTCGAGGAAAAAAGTTAAATCAGCAATGGTACCCAAGACTCCTACGAGGCCATTGCGTGTCAAAGTTACGCCGGAGTCGCCCACGTTGGCCTCTCCATTGTTGTCAAGACTGTCAAAAAATGACACAGTCGTTTCAAGTCCAAAAATAAGCGTAACAAGTAAAACTGACAATCATGCTCAGACGCGTCGTAGGCGTCCTAAAGGGGCATCATCATCGTTAGAAACAAACTTAAATAAAACAAATACAGACAATTTACATAAAGACAATTTTTCGCGGACAGTGCCGCCCTCGCCCGCGCCAAAAGTTGCCTCATCGAATTCGAGGCGATCAAGAAACAAGTCAAAGCGAGGGCGAAATAAACAAAAACATTCAAGGAGACCAAAAGACTCGTCTTAGCGTAGAAGCTTTTTCTCGATATATATATTTTTGTACTTCACGATACGCGCTTCAAAATGATTAATGGTTCGTTTTTTGTCTTTCTCTATAACAATTCTTAAATTAGTTGAATCGAAATAATTACCTATTATCACTTCTGGGTCTTTTAAAAATTTGTATATACAACGTAGAAACGTCATTATCCACAAACAGATACAAAAACGTTTATAGAGTCGTTTTAATTATCCCAAATTTTCTACAAAGCCAGAAGTTTTCAATTTTTCGTGATTAACACGAGTTGAGTAATGTTGAAACCTTGCTTAATCCTTAATTGTAGGATCAGTCGATTTACTTTTGGTTGAATTCCATACAAAGTTGTTGCAAATTTACGGATTTTTCTACAGTACTAGAATTCAAAACCCACCAAGCCATCATATATATATATATATATATATATATATATACATTATCCGCATGTCAACGAGCTTCGGAGCAAAGAATTTGCTGAAAAGTTTATGACGTAACAACCACTGTCAGATTACAGTTTTTACAACATCATAAAGGCCGATCACGTTTGTTTTTATGACGCGTTTTTTCTGCTTGATATATATTCCTTTCTTTAGTGAATTCAATCCTATTTAGCAATAACAACATCATGTAGGCTTTGTATTACTCCATTGTCCCCGCCTTGAAAAGATTGTTTGATGCCTCAAATTCCATAAACGTTCGGCGTAGAACTGGGTTCATTTAATGGATATTACAATTTCATGATTTAGCTCACATTCAGCTCATACTCAGTAATTAGAAATTGCTTATTCCAGTTATTTGATGATAATGATACCAAGGGAGCATGTTGGGACACAATTTTTGGTAAATAATCCAGTCTTTACATTTCATTTTTTGCTGTTCCCGTTTATCTTGTGTCACAAAAGAATGTTCATTTAAGCTCAGTATTTGGGGAAAACCGATTCCCCATCTGTATTGCATAAATAAAATATAGATAAGAAAGAACGAAAAAAATTGAAATTCCACTGAATTCGCAATGAAAAATGATAGAATGACAAAAACATACGGATTTGAGGGTGTTGATTTACAATCAATCAATATTCCTCAATTTCTAAAATGCTGAGGAAATTTTTGCGCCAATTTATCCAAGCAATATGTCATTTGACTCTGACCTTTGCTATTCTTAGGGAATTACCTTAATGAGTTGATTCCGTCTCAAATATGTTGCTATCAAATGGTATTTCAGCAAAAACTTAAATAGTCGCAAGCATGTACCAAATATATGTATAAAGTAGATACACCTTTCACATTTTCAGACCTATTTGACTTAATTGTTATATCGCTATCAATTGTTATTATGAAATTTTATCATTATATTTCAATTTATGTTTTATTCTATGTGATATCGATGGGACACTATGGACTAGTTATTTGAAAATACGAAACATTTCATTTTAGATTTTAACCAAATCCCAGTAATATGTGCATAATTAATTGGTTTGCATCGAAATCCATTCGTTGAAAACGAGAAACAGATTGCTATCTTTTTATGGTTTCATTTCTGAAATGTGATTTTCTTTCAACTAGAACTAAGAAAGAGCAAGCAACGGTTTTATCTTTCGTTTATTAAATGGGACGTTGGATGAATAAGTTGAACATTATACTTAAAAATATTGTTTGTCTGCCTTTTGTCCTACCTTTATATATTTTTTACTACTTTAATCGTACTTTATGTCTTCCATTTTTCTTAATTTATTTATTTCACCTGCCAGTGGGTTGAATCAACTACACGATTCACTGATTGCGCAAAAAGCGTCCCTGACCAACGCCAATTCTATTTCTGTTTAGAATTTTCATTTTTCTTTTTCGTTATTACTTTTTTACTGTTAAATTAATTGCTACACAATTTTTAGGACGTGAAAAGAAATAAATTTGTGCAATATGGAATGGAAACTCTGTCATTTCTTAGCAATTTGTATTGACTCGGGGCAACAACTTAAAACGTAGATGCCGCATAAAGACAGAATTGTGCGATCGCGTGTTTTTTTGTTTATTTATTGTCGATGAAAGATATCACACGAGTTTTCCGGTGAAATTACGTATAATATGTCTCGAAAAAATTCGAATACCGCGGATTATTGATCTTCTTCGCAAGAGGGGGCGGTTTCTTGCTATACTATACTGTAGTAAAATAAAGTTTGTAGAAAAGAAATGAACAAGATGGCACTTCTATGGTTTTGGCAATAATTGAAAACAATCACATATTGCTAAAAATGGCTGATGCCGATTATATATCAAGGCTTGTATAACTCATATAAATCTATATTCTGTAGTTGTTAGCAGCGAAACTTACTTTAATATTATATCAGCCGCCAATACGCCTTTAAAAAAGCGGGTACTGGAAGGACAACAAAGCAGTGGAATGGCTGAAAAAAGTAATTTTATTCAGGACATTATGATGAGACCAACCATGTGTACTCGAGAAGCTCATATGTCGATCTAGAAAATTGGTGGACAACACCAATCCAGCTTTCCCAATTCGTGCGAATAGTTGCGAAGTCGGAAGTTTTTGACTTCAAATGAGCCATCAATTAATTTTTCTTAACCTTTCATATGCTATATTATACCTACTTGATTGCGTCGTACGTCAGTTGAAAAACTTACACCGAATCTAGTCACGCGACGCGGCTAATAACGCTCAGTGACAACCCTTTTAAAAAAAACTCAATAGAGAGTTTCTCCTTTCTCAATTTGTAGTGTTAAGTTGATTTAGTTCATGCATACAATAAAACTTATGCGTTGTCGCTGATAAAGACGAGGAAACCCGAAATTTTGCGGTTTATTTCATTTTAATAAGAAATGCACATCTTTTGCCTTTGTTAACTGGATTTGTACTCTATGTTGATTTTCTGTTCGAAAGCGAAATTTTGTCCAGTCATATGCTATGATTACATTAGTCTAACGGTCCAACCGTTGAAGATATGAGTCATCAAAGGAAAATTATCGATAGTGACGTAACATTTTTGCGAATGGCATCAATTAGCACCGCCGTTAGTGTGACATTCGTCTGTTTTTGATTATATATACAAACTACAGTACTTGTGGGTATTCAGACCAACTGTTTACTTGGTATGAAATGCCCAACATTTGCTTAGTACATTATCTACGTACAAAAAAAATTTCATTATAAATTGACAGATTTTCACAATGAGTTCAATAAATCAACATTCTGCTCCCGATCTAATATTAAACGACCAAAAAATCCCATTTCTGACTCTAGTGCCCCATGGCTTGTCTACACGACCGATATCAAATGGTCCGTCAATATCGAGAGCTCTTACACTTCCTAGACCAGTGAGTATTTTTTAATTGACGGCAATTTTTTAGGACTAACAAGCTAAATTGAAAACTACTTTATTCGTTTTGTATTAGTATATTGGAACAGGTTTATCATTTTTTGGCACGCTCAGAGATTTTATTAAATTTTAAAGTTTATATATTTTTTATTTAAAACACATTTTTTTCATTTTTCATGTGCGTGCGTCGTTTCATATAGCAAAACACGCCATATCATTACGGACATCGACCTTGGAAGTGATAACAGATTTTGGGCGTGTGGAGATCAGACCACTTCCCCCATTGATGAAACGCTGTTTAAATCTGTCCAACATTTACAAAAAGAACCGACCGCGTGGGAAATCACTCTTCCAAAAGATAGGGTTATAGCTTCGATTCGATAATTTTGAAATCTCTATGAAGTGAGGTAAACAGGTGTCACGAAAAGTGTGTTCATTATTCATAAACCCTTTGTAGCTGAGCGGCACTTGGGGAGACGTGAATCTTTCCATCGGCGATTGGGTCTGATGATAACGCGACAAAAGCTAAGAAGAGGTAGGATTGATTTTTGTTTCAAGGCGTGGTGTACCCCACCCGAGATACTTTCCAAAAGTAAATATGTGTTGAACCAACTCTTAAGTCACACTCAGTCTTGATGTTTATTTTGTTTGTTTCGAGTTGATTTGAAGTAACATCAAATAGGATGACTGTCATGTCTATATCTGTCGATAAGGCTTTCAAGATGATTTGATTTTTATTGTTACGTCACAACAAATAGGGAGTATTACAAAAAATTCTGGTCCTCCTGAAGTATGCGCACCAAGATGGCGCACAACCTGGATTCAGGTTGTGTACCAGATTAGGGTTCAGGTTATGCGACATCTTGGTGCGCATACTTCAGGAGTATCAAAATTCTTTTATCATGAAACAAGAATATCAAACTGTTTCCTCAAGAATACTACTCAGAAAGACTTCGCTGAAGAAAAACTGTGAACATTGCCGATGCGCAGGCAGATGAGCCACTGAAAATCGTAGGGACGTACCCGGTTGTCGTTGCATCTTATACCGTAAAATATCGGTACTTATATAGCTACAACAAACGACACAAATGTTGTAAAATAGATGTTATTATGCAATTCGAAATGCCCATAAAGGTGGAATTGGAGACGCGTTGATTGTTGATTTTTCATTAGCATAAACCATTTAACATTTTGTAAAAACTAGGCCAAGAAATTACAAAAATGATATTTCCTGGATGCAGGTTTTGAAAGAATCTAAACTAGGCCAAAATTGTTTATAGCAATTTATAAACAGAGACTGAACGTGAAAAATAGTCTAATTTAAATAATATTGTGTCAATAATTCTCAAATTCAGTTTTCCAATTTCGTGCTTGACTGTCACAAAGACTCCCCTCTATTTATTTTAGGATTATGCGTTTTTAGATAATCGTACGTGTTCTTAATAAACGTCGCAATAAAAATAGTTGTCCCGAGTTTAATAAGCAGCGTAGGCGTGCCGTTAAATAGTCAAATGAATTTACTTTAGTAAATCGTGACCACGCGATTGAGCAAATCAATATTCCCGCCTTAACTGAGTGACAGCATTACCAAGAGTATTATCATTGTGTCTACAGAAAATTCTCGTGCTAAAAATATGACTAATTTTTGCACAGGAATGAATGAATAGTCTGACATAGTTTGTCAAACATTGATCACTAATTTTCCCTCCCCTTTGAATTGAAATGAGAATTGTTATTTGACATATATCAATATTGAGTCGTGGTTCAGCGTACTAGCCAAAGAATATCGGTGTATCGATATGGGAGAATTTTTCGTGACATCGCCCAAAAATCTAGTCATGGAAATTTTGAACCAGAAATTGCGATTTTAAGGTTGTGCAAATTGTGTCGCGGT